GTTTCCTCTTAGGGAAGCAGCTTAGTCTATCAGAAAATGCAATATGCTTTAGGTCATAGCACTTAGTTGGAAATTGTATCTCTACATCGAATGAAAGTAAATGAGTTCACTCATTCTTCCCGATTAACTGCATGTTTTTACCACAGCCACCACGATACTCTCATTAATGAGGTCAACATCTATTAGTCAGGACAGCCAAAGTTGTGGGCGTGTGGTACGTAGGCATGCCTTAACTCAGAGATATTTTAATCCTTACCCCGAAGGTGGTTAAAGTATAAAATGTTTATTTTTATCATATATATAAACCATACGGTTTTCGAAGGGTTTATATACAAATATTTGTTTGTATTTCACATTTTGATTGGTACATCTTTTGATAGCTATGTGTAACATATGTTGTGATAGTTAACACTCTAAATTAGTTTATACTGTATGTTAATAAATATAAATAACATATTTTGATACGATAGTAATAAGTAACAAAACAACACCGTGTGTTAATTTAATCTAAATACAAACTAGTCTGAACAGAAGAGCCTCAAATACTGCCATAAAGCAATTACAGATAGCACAAAACCTGGTTATAAGAAGACAATTTAAGATTCCATGGTATATTAGAACAACAGACATACACAGAGATCTAAGGATCGACTCAGTGAAAAAATATATCAAGGACAGCGCCCTAAAATTATTCACAAAAGTTGATACGCTGCCTAACCCCGCCCTAACAAAAGTCAAGTCCACCTCAGGACCCACAGAACGATATGCTGACCTACGGTCTATCATCAATTAAAAGATAAATAAACTATATGAATTCCTGCATAGTGAAAGCCTAGTGTGGGGTAGGGATAAGCCCCTAGACACAAAAGAGTAAAAGTGCGCAATAGCACTAACTCAGGAAACCACAATAACAACAACAATAAAATTTAATATGAATATCGAGTAACATCCACATTCATCACATCCCAAAATTTCTAAAGTCGTTCATTTGATATATGGTAGTAAATATGTTGTAATGTTGTATATAGTAAACGATTGCAATTACTCGGAAAAATGTGTCAAAATTTTATGTAAATGTATGAGTGTATATATGTAACGTTAAATATGAGTGACTAATTTAAATTTAAACATATAGACAATCACTACTTAATTGATCTATTTCATCTAGCTATCTAACTTTATAAGACTTCCATTATCTGCATTGCTGTGTTACACAAACTGTTATTGACAAAGTTAATAAATTCTTTTAGTACTATACGAAAGATTTCACGACGTATTTGATCTATTTCGTTGAACTTTAGGGAGCATCTAATGTCACCTTTATTGTGTTAAAATTATCTTTTTAAACTTAGTATATTTGTACGGTATCAAATATCATTGCCAAAAGATCTAGTACAATGATATAGGCCACAATTTTTTTTGTTTCTTAAGTTTAGTATCCTAGGTACGATTAAGCAATTGTCGTTGACTATAATATCTCACCACTCTCACTGTAGTCTACCATTATTGAATATAGTAGCCAGCGACTATTAAAGTTAAGATAAAAAAGAGGAGCACAGCTTCCCTACTCTTTGTATATTATAAAATATGGTTCTATTGTCAATTATTTAATTTTTTTATGAATGAAAGAGTATGTTATCTTTTTCTGCAACACATCTAAACAAAAAATGGGTTAAATGTCTAAACCTATCTACAATTTATTCAATCAATGTAGATTCAGATATATGAAAACGTTCGTAGAAATAATTCTTAAAATATTTTTGCATATTTAGGATATTCTTGTGCTGCATATAAATTTTTAAGTGAATGTCCTTTATATTTTGTTGTTTAATAGCACATCCTTGTGCTATATTTGTGTTGCTCATTTTTATTGTTCGTATCAATTTATGCTCTATTTATGCCCAAATTATTTCCAAAATGCTGTTGTGCAAAACCATAAATGTAAATTTTTTGAATTTTTAAAGAATTTTGAAGTGTTTTGTGGTAAAACCATAACAAAATCATTTACATTCCATGTCAACTAAAGGACGAACTTTACGGTAAAATTTTGATTGTAGAGTTTGCTTTGATTTGCAAATTTAATTATGGATGAGTTTTATAAGTTTTAATAATCAAAATGGTTTCAACTAAATCAAATCTATCTCAATCTATTGAACCGTCTGACATGTGTTAGAAATGTTGGTACTATTTGATTGCATATTTATAAGATACAGTATAAAAAATTAGAAGTAAACAATTTTTCTCAAAGAAAAACTGACATTTGCATTGATAATACATTTTTGTGGTACAACAAATTAGTTGTTGCCACTGTATCTGAAGCCATTTTTGTATATCGAAACCACAAAAAGGATTTCACAAATATTTTAGTGATGATCTATGTACAAATACGAATACAATATGTTTCTTGCAAAATGTGGTTTAAAATAAATGCATTTCGAAATGCTTAGAAACTCTTGATGTATTTGTATGAATATTGTATTTGTATGAACGTTTATTAAGAATAGTAGTACTAGAACGTTTCAATGCACTTTATTTTGTATCCTTAATTCTCTAAATTTATTTTCTAATTTCAACTTTAACGATAGTGTTTCATATGTTTATGTTAACAAAAAATAAAAAAAAACATCTCAATTCATAAACGCTTGTTTGTAGCAGTTATGTACTCGCACCTTGGCTTACGTAGAAGTACATTATTGTTTATTAAGTTTGTTGTACGTAAACTTATGCTAAGCAACATTTAAACCGCATAATTTTTCTCCTTTTGTATCTGTATCTTTGCTTACGTATGCTTCACCAGCAATTTCAGCTCTTGAGTTTGCTGCTTGCTCACGTTTAGATACATATTGCTTTTTTGCATTGTCGCACATCTTCGGTTAAAAGCACATATCCTTCGCATGTCTAGAGTGCTAGAGTGCTATGACTGGAGTTCGAAAGTTGGCTTCGGAAATGTTCTCCTGTAGTGGCTGTTAATCTAATTTGCTTTGCCGTACGACATAACTTTCTAGTAGTGCTGTCAATAGATAGACACAGGAGAATATCTGCAATATTTTTTCTTTTCTTTTCTTTTCCTTACTATTTTAACTTATTTACAGTAGATTGGTTGTGAAACTACTTAAGCAATTTTTCAGAACATTAAAGTATCTAAAAAAATATGCAAATAAAATGCTAAATAAAGACATTGTAATTTGTGTTTTCTGCTTATGTGAACTTAAAACATATTTGGTAATAAAAATAGTTTCTTCATATATTTTTCTATATTCTTCTATGTTATATGATTTGAGAAGCTTCAATTTCTGAACCACTCCGAATTGATGATTACAAATCGTGTAGATACATTCACTTTCCACAGTTTCCACACTTGTCGTGAAGTACTAGAACTAGTGCAAATATAAGAAATTACTTCCGCTACTGTACATCAATTGAGCAAAATAAACAAACCATAGAAATGAACTTTAATAAAAGCCAAATCAAAAATAAATAAATTTTTAAAAACCAAAGTAACAAGACAGAAATGTAAATAATTCCCTTGAAAAGTAAACAGCAATCGTAACTTCTTTATTATTCAACTCCATTTCGTGCAACTCCTTTTATTTGCTCCCATATCTCTATATCTCTTTTCCTAAACACATTTTTTTGGTTTTATTCTCAGTGTAAATTTCCAACAATAATATTCCATCATTATTTAATGTCCTTGAATTTTAAGGAAAGCAAGGCGTAAGCGTTCGCTTTAAGACTGCTTTAGGAACAGTAGGGTTTTGAAGCACCCAACGGCGTCATCAATATACAAGGCATTGTGCGCAAACTTAAAGGATTTGTGTGGCATAACAAAATACAACACGGAAAGAATTCTCCACTTTTTCTCCGCAAAAAATCGAAAGAACTTCAGCAAGGACTACCTCAATAAATTCTATAGCAGGCACGTGTATACATTGAACGTGCAGTTTTTTACATTCATATCTGAGCATCCTTTGGTGTTTAGGTGTATGCATTCATGTGCTGCGGTGAAATTGAAATAAATTATGAGGCAGCCTTGGTGGCATGGATGGAGTCAGAAAAGGAGAATGTTAAATTCTAGAAACACAAAACGTTTGAAGTCTATTCTAAAAGGATTCAAAGTATGCTGGTGCTTCACAAAACAAATCTAAAAGATTAGGATTACATTGTATAAGAAGAATATTATGTTTAAGATGTACAATGTTAAGAACGAGCGCAACACAGAATTTTAAATCACTGAATTAAAATTGAAAAATTGTAAAAGGATTCATTATTAAAATGCATATAGCATAAAAATAATTTTGAATTCAATTTAAAATTAGAAAATCTTGATAAAAACAAGAATATATGTAAAAATCCAATCCTTATCCAAAAATCCGAGCTAGGCATTAGAAGGTTTAGAAAGTATTGATATTTTAATTTAATAATATTAAACTCATATGGACATAATTATCGATACTTACAGCCCGTGCCCGAAATGCTTTTTTTGCAACGCAACATCCACATTTGACTATGTGGATACTGTAAGCCGAAGAAATGTTGCTCAAAAAGTGGTAGTAATCTGCAGTTCATGGTAGTTGTCTGAGGATCATTATGGCAGTTTAACAGAAAAAGATAGATTAAATCCATGTTTCTTTGATTCAATGTTGTATATATGTTATTTTAACACAATGTTCTGCCAATGTTTTTTTATCAATTGAGCGGGATGTTGCATATACTCTTAACTACCTACAGATACATAATATATCAGAAGGAAAAGATGGAGTGTTGATTGATTGTTATTGAAATTGAAATTGATTTGTAAAAAAAATAATTAATTAGTTAAAAAATATTTTAATAGAAATAATGTTTAGTTTTTCGTTATCTTTAAAAATTCTTAATATATATTGTTATATAAATATACAAATTCTTAGCGCTACAATACCTTGAACTGAATTATGATACATAAATAGTGTACATTTTATCTTAAATTTAAGGAAATTCGCATAACATTTCACTGCGAAATAATGTCACAAAGCATAGAACCCAGATCGAATGTTGAATTCCGTTTCGAATTGGGTAAAAAAGTTGAAGAGTTCAGTATTGCAAGCACATGTTAAAATTTCCGGAAAGAATCTGTCAAATACGTCAGCAATTGTAACTGATGATAAAAGATGATGGTTTCAAGCCAAAATTACCAGAAGAAATTACCAGAAGGAAAAGTAAATAACTTTTTCAGAAGAATAAAACTAAGATATTGCAGATATTTTTGTCTCAGAAGATCAGACTGTGAATGTACTGTATTGTAGAACTAAGGGTTCTTTCAGGATTGTGGATCAAAAATATTTATTGTTCGTTTGGGTATCATTAGACAAAGCTTTAATAACGTAAACTTTTAATCAAAAACAAATCTTACTAATCTTATAATTTCAACTTATTCATCTGATTTAAGTAGATGCGTCTACTGGATATTCCACAAATCGAAATTGACCCTGAAAGAAAATCAATACTATTTCAATACTATTCCATTTATCATCGTATCATCGGATCTATTCGTTTTCTATTCTAAATCTGATAATTCACCTGATGATTTAAATATTTCTTAATAGCTATACCATAGTTAAATTCTGTTTATTTATGTATTTAAATAAAAAACAAGTTCAAGCCAAATTATTACATACAAATTAAGTATTTAATGATTCAAACTTGAAATTGAAATGAAAAGCATTTATGCTATTAAATACCAACTGGTAGCTGTGAAAGCACATATATCTATTAAAAACAGCATATTTAGTTGCGTTTAATATTTAAATTAAATACTTTAACCCTTTTTTGCATCTAGAATATTTAAAATTTTAAACAAATGAAAAGGGTTTCCCTAGAACCTCAATGTACAATGAACCACGTACAAAGAAAGCCTTCAGTTTGCTCAAAGCCCTTTCCACACACTGCTGTGTATGTTAATAGCCTGTTTTATGAAAAATTAAGCAAGGAGTGCTTAAACAAATTTTCAGCATGTTGGCTCAGAACTCTTCTGTCTGCCAACTATACTCTTATACTCGTATATTCGTATACTCGTACAAAAACCGCACGGAAATTATGCTAAAATTATGGGAACTTCAAAGCAACAACTTGCAACAGATTATACTCGTACCTAAGATTGCTAGACTCGCAAGTGTACACGACGCTACATAAGTTATCTGAAACGTGCCGAAAATATTGTTGTGAAATTACTGGCAGACTCTGGTAGTCAGAGTGCCCGAAATTTATATAGCACGTCTTTGTCGCTCCTCAGGAACAAATGTACATTAATGACGGTTGCAGAAGTTTTCGTAGGAAGTCAGAGCAAGTCACACTGCCAAGTGTTTGTAGTTAAAATTCCATTTTAGTTTCTGCAGGTTGGTCCGTCTGGCTGGCTTATGTTGTAAAATTAAATTTTAAATCAATTTGCTGGAAGTATTTTGTCGTGTGCTCGTTATATTTTCCTTTATGAATTAACATCATAAAAAACTGAAAGTAGCTGAATAAAACTAAATATTTTTTGTATTTTTTGCTGGTAGCGTTTTTTGTTTTTCAACTCCAAATAATTAAAAATTATTAATTTATAAACCATTTTCTAATAGTTTTCTAACATGAAAATAACATTTTTTGTTTATAATTTTTAAGACTACAAGTATCAACAGTTGAACTCTTTGGAATACTTGACTATAAATAAATTTAAATTTGAAGAATTTTGAAATTGAATTGATTTAATGTTAGTTACCAGATATAGATATATAAACATATTAGAAAGATTTTTAATGTAATTGATACTAATAAATTAAGATACAAAAAAGAACTATAGAGGATAGCATAAAAGTGAAAAAATTGTGCTAAAACCTATTTATGCTATTTTATTTCAAAAGCTACCCTAATAGGTCAGAGCTTCATCTCATTGATGGTAGATCAGCTTGCGCCTCCATTGATTCCGCTTACCAGGAACAAAATGGGTGTAAAACCTGTTTATACTGATTTGTTTCAAAATCTACCCTAATAGGTCACAGCTTCATCTCCTTGGTGGTAGATCAGCTTGCGCCTCCATTGATTCCGCTTATCAGGAACATATGTTTTTTAAAAATGGGTGTAAAACCTATTTATACTGATTTGTTTCAAAATCTACCCTAATAGGTCTCAACTTCATCTCCTTCGTGGTAGATCAGTTTGCGCCTCCATTGATTTCGCTTACCAGGAACATATGTTTTTTAAAAATGGTTGTGCGGTTTGCTAATATTAAATGAAAAACTTTATTTTATAATAATGTTGGCTGTTCGTATTATCAACAATTTAATGGTTAAATATTATTTTATCAATTAAGTTGGCATTTTTTTTAGGTGGAGAAATTATTTTAAATTAAAATACAAATTAATTAGCAAATTAATTCTGAACTTTGAGTAATTTGGAATTTTATAATATTTAAAACCTCATAAATAGTTAAAAAAGCTTATAAATTTATTAATTACCAAATAAATGAAAACATTGCATTTTGAAACTATTTGTGGTTTTATTCTCTGAAATATTGAAATTAAATAAAATCCTTAGTTTTTAAATATTCACAAATTTGCCATTTTTAATGTTTGATTTAACAGGATTTAAATAAATAAATGGTTGGTATGTGCCATACAACCCGACAAAAAAATCAAATAACACAATTTGTATTTCTATTAGAAGAATCGTTGCGAATCGTTAACTACCTTATGTCCTCAATTATGTCCATCAATTAAATCAGTTATGATAAATAAGAGGAAAAAAAATTTAAAGAAAACAAAAATTAACTTCATTGCCTTATGCGATTCTCTAGATCTACAATAGAAAAATAGCTATGTTTGTAGTTAACGAAATTCTCTTTATTAAACGTTAAACAGATCATATCCAGACTGCCCTAATAGCAAGAAGTAGCACAACTACAGCAAGCACGTTTTTTGGTCTAAAAATACACTTTAAAAAATACTGGAATATATGTTTCTGGAATATAGACGTATGCGCTGCTGCCTGTCGCAAAAATACCTACTACAGAGTCTACATAGCGGTTTAACTATTTGGTAAATACCATTTGCCCAAACCATTTAGCATCACAAGGGACTAAAGATATATGCGTGACTTACGGCCAGCCAGATTAACCTAATCAAACTTCAGAAAAATGTGAGAACATGAAAGTCAAGTTCGGCTTTGGGTCAGTTAATTAAGGTGTGCTGACACTGACTTTCAAATTTGGTAGGGCATGAGTTCGATTCCTGGTACTTGCAGCCTCAAAAAATTATTTACGAATAATTAAGACAATAATTATTTCCAAGACCACTGACGATGGGTATTTGGCAGTACTCGAAACATCGAAACAGCTGTATGGTCAGCTAAAAATTCAGTTAATTAAAATAATATAAAAATGAGTTTTTGTTGTTGTAGTTCACTACTTTTCGAGAAACCTCTTTATAATTATTAATTGACATACAAGTTTCGGTTCTTCAAACTGTCATTACTTTGTTTTTAATTCTTTACTTTATGAAAATATTTTTGCCAATCCGTCTTCCAGTTCCAAACATTACCATTCATTTCATCTTTTCGACGAATAATAATTGATAGGGTTTTATCAAAATTGGACATATATTTTTCACACGTATCCACAACATATATGTATGTCTATATAAATATATATATATACTTAAATATGTATATATTTGTGGATATGAAAATGTTTTGGGGATGCCTTCCTATGAGAAGGAAATAAAACACAAATCAACTTTTTCTCTTTATTCGCATCCTCACCTCTATTTTTTAAGGGAACAGAACCTTTTTGAACTCTCGGATATCGTAATTTAAGCACAAGTGGACCTTCATCATACTTTACTGTACGCTTAAAAAGCATTAAGCTAACCATTAAAGGCTAGTTTTATGGTTCTTACCAAAACCATAAAAGTCAACATAAAAACCCTTAACAATATTAAACAGATAAAAAGTTTATTAGAGCACATAAAAGTCAACCTCTCCGGAAAAGAAGAAGAAATCCAAAACTGCCACGAAAGTGGGAAAGGTAGGAGGTTCACGTGTTTTGCAGCACTTGCGTGTGAAAACTACAAATGCATATGGATTTGAATACACACACGAGTTTTGCTTACGTGCGAGTATGAGTAGAAGTAGGAGTTGAGTGCGAGAAATGAGAAGTGTGGCGTGTGGCGTGTGGAGTGCTTTGTGGTCGCGTGCTACAACTGTGAGCGCGTAGTTATTTCGAGCTTTTAATAGCTTCGTTTCTATTGTTGTTGTTGTTGTTGTTGTTGTTGTTGTTGTTGCTGTTGTTGTGTGTGTAATTGTAGTCGCTTTTTTTATTACAGTTGCTAAATTTTGCTAATGACGCGAAAATTTTAAGTCACGTTTCTTAGTGCCGCGAACAACAAACAACCAACATTATTGTTCTTGTGTTGTTATTGTCATTTAAAATGCTGGCACGTTCCAGACTTTACATATGCACGCCACTAATTTATGAGAGTATGCGAGCTTAGACACACATACATACACCTTTTCATCGAGAATGAAAATTTCATTCACTCACGATGAAAATCTTAATTTCTTCTATCCTTTGCGGTTTAGAATGCAATTCTAAAATTCTCGTTTTGGATTAATTTTCTCAAGAAAAGTCTACACCAGTTTCATAACTGAAATAATTTTCCTATATTTTCTTCTTTCAGCCACATGTCCGCCATCATATTTCAAATGCAACGACGGCCCTTGTATACCGATGCGCTGGAAATGTGATTCTAAACGCGACTGTGTGGATGGTTCCGATGAGCTGCACGATTGCGGTAAGTTCGGTTATAGAAGTATACTACTAGAAAGTTCATTATGTGATAAGCCACGTCTTACTGAGGCTGTTATGTTCATATATGAAAAAAGTAATATTATGTTGAGCCTTTTTCAAGTTGGTGCATCTGGGTACTTTTACTGTTTGATAGCTGGGGGGTTTTCTGCAGAGTCCCATGTTCATATATGAAAAAAGTAATATTATGTTGAGCCTTTTTCAAGTTGGTGCATCTGGGTACTTTTACTGTTTGATAGCTGGGGGGTTTTCTGCAGAGTCCCATCCATGTCACTGACTAATTTGTGTTTCCTCATAAGCGAAAAAATAATAAAGATGTTAAAAAAGACAAATACACATTTTTTCGTATTTGACTTATCATTTCTTATGATAGTTGTGTCTATAATAAATCTGAATCGATATGCATACATTTTGAAAAAGTACTACATGCTATTCACATTCAATATATACTCAATTTAAATAAATTGCTTTGCAAAAAGATAAAAAACCTGAGTTCCGAGTTCAGATATAGGTAATCGGTTATAAGTTTTAGTCATTTCAACGAATATATAACGAATATGAATATTTCTTTTTCGAAAAGTATATTATACTTATATTTTCAAAATTTTATTCAAAAGCAGTGTTCTAAACTCTTGGAATAAATTCTATCAATATCAATAAAAGTTATGTGTTTGGACATCTAAACCTTGTTATCAATTATACTCCAAAAAGTTACAGAGTCGTGTTTAATAAATTTTAATCGTCTTTTACGTCAGGCATGCCTGATTTCGGGAATATTCTAACCCCTATTCCGAATTGCGGTTGACACAGAGAAATAAACGTAATACAGAAAAAAACACACAAAAACTAAAAGACAAGTAGATTTGTCTCGTATCGCTGATAAAAAAATCTACATTTTATAGGGCCTTGATGCTTTTTTACTCTTAAACAAACTTCTTATAAGTATAATATATTTTTATCAAATTACGTAAGTGAGATATCTGGACAGAGATCGTCCCTGTTGAATTAATTATAAACATTTTTGATTTCACATTCCTCGTAATTCCAGGTCAAGGTTTGCCTGATATTGATATCTGAAGGTGTTGTGTAGTGAGTTGAACAATATCCTGGTGAGCAGCGGCTGTCTCTTCCTTGGATGAAAGCGATCATAAGCTACAGTAGTTGTGATCATGCAAGTACAGCGTTAATGTTTAAAGAGTATAAAATGCAAAATAGGTATAAATATATTTTTAACACTGCTTTCAGGCCAGAAGGGATCTACATAAGAATAAATTTCCGTCTATATGTGGTAAACTGGTGAGCAAATGAAAAGAATATTACATCGAAGAATCGAGAACTTCTACAGTAAACTGCCTGTAAATACAAAAACCCATACATATTATTTTGATAATTTTGCAAACATATAGACCATCTATTCGTTATGAAATACTTTTTGGTGCACTTTTAGGAAGTGAGAACCGCCGCGTATGCTCCCGTTGGCTACGCCCATACTGCTTATGTCTTGAAATCAACTTTTAAATTAGTGGGTTTTTCATTATATATGATAGTGGATCGTTAAAAAATCTGAATATTATAGAAAGGCTATTTATTATTCCCTAAAAGAACTATTTCTAATTTTGTTTAACAATTATTTTTGAATTAATCAAGAGTTACATCTGGATATTTAAATTTTTAAATAGATGTGATTTTATCTTCATTAGATGTTTTTAATAATGCATATAACCATTCTAAAAAGGTATAGTATCCTGTTGTAATTTCTGAAATTTATTTTTAATAAGTCAATTATGAGTTCATCAGTTACAAAACATTTGTATTTTGATTAAATACTATTTATTTATTAAAAAAAATTCTACACTTATTAATTGAAAAATTCTACACTTATTTTATTTTTAGTTATTGTTTAGACATTTTTATTAAAAGGAATCTACTTCTGTCGTCTTTCCCTTCGTCTTTCGGCACTAACTTGTGGTAATTGAAATATTTCATCAAGTGTCACATGTCTACGTTTTCATTGAAATTAATTATATGAGACGACAATGCCTTCACGACATGGCATCAGGGCATGGTAACACATCACATCAGTTCGCATTGCATCGATATTGCCTATTGTCCACCCCACAGCCTAAATTGAAATAAATTAAGCTGGAGACAATGTTCAGTTTGTTCAGTTCATTCAGTTTGCTCTGTCAACAGTGCACTGACGAATGAATGCATTTATGGAAAAATTTGAAAACTTTTATCTTGGCAGGTTATTCGTTAAGTTAAATTGTGCATTGCTACCGCAATTACAACCCATGGAATTTATAATTTTATTTTATTTGATTGTAAAGCCTCTCTATTCCCATGCACTAAGGTGCTCTACATTGATTCCATTTATAGACAACGTAGCGGACTTTTGAACTTGTCCCGTTCATTTTCAGACGAATGTAAATAAGCGAATGTGAACTTTATTTGCAATGTTATGAATACCAGTGAACTCTTTCAACCCACCATGTTGGAATAATTCTATAAATTTATTTGCTATCCATTTGGTATATCTTGAGAAACATTGATTGTTGAAATTAATAATTTATTTGAAATCTACATTATTAATTTTTCATTTCGATTTATGATGAATATCGTAATTTACATCTCATATTGAAAACTATAATATGAATATCGAAAATTTACATTGTGTTTGATATTTAATGAAGTTATATTAAATCATATTAAAAAAAACGTTTAAAGTAATATATTAACTAAGATTATCCTATTTTATAAATCTACGTTCCTTCACAGTACGTTATCTGTCTGGTCATTTTAAATTGTCTGGTCATATTGTCTGAGGTAACAGAATATTATTCGAATTTTAGTTAAATTTTTTGTAACCGTCAGGTTTGGGTGCTAGAAGGAATATTTTTGACCATCGGCTGATATTAGGAACGTCTTAAGAGAGATAGTGGGATTTCTACCTTTCATTCGAAAAACTGGATAGGTTCTAATAAGCTAGAGTTATTTGCTAGCACAAATATGTACTATTGATGTAGTGGTTTGCTTCACTTTTCTAATCTAAATCGTGATTATATAAAAACTTTAGTTTGTTTTTACTTTAACATAAACGTTGGTTAATAAGTTTTTTTTTAAATGATTTAATCAAAGTGATCTTTTCCAGACATTTTTTAGAAAACGTTCATTTTAATTGAAATACTAATACCAATACATAAATCTAGACTTATATCAGCCATTATTTATTTCATGGTCTTGCTGACCTTTGAAAATAGATCTGAGCTTCTTTCAAAATTGCACGATTGTTAAACTTTTTTTTTAAAAATTGATTGTATCACAAGATGTGAGGCATGTTTTTGGAGCCTCTATCGTCCAAGTGGAAATTATCTAATCCATGCTATAAAAAATCAGTAATTATGTTTCTGTAGCGTTATTTATCGGCGGTAACTGTAACGCCATAAAGTATAGTAGCCCATAAAGTACATTGATCCGCTTGTTTGTATGAAATGTGTTGTATGGACAGTAGTGAAGGTTTTTTTTCCCTCCCAAGTGTGACAATTTTGATTATTTACTAAGGCATTAAAGCAGAGCTTAGGTTCACAGCTAAACATGATTCTATATGCTATCGCCGTAAAGCTCAGTTTGCAAAATTTCTAAACAATCATTTAGTTGAAATTCCTAAATCTGATTATTACAAACCTCAAAATAAATATCTTTATAAATAATGTTTGGTATCTGATAACCAAATAAAAGTACGAGTTTTATAGAACGTTGCTAATTGATTGCTTTTGTTTTTATTTAAATGGACTCTTAATCCATCATTCCATTTCAATTCTTCGATGCATTATAAATAGTTAGCTCTACGCCGATTATATATGCCATATATACCATAAATATCGTAAAACATATTAAACTTAAATATTTCTCACAGATAGTTTTAAAACGCTAATAATCTCGTCATCTTTGCAGTGATGATGGTTTTGAGGATAGTTCTGGGAAAGACTTTGCAAATTTCTTCACTTTCTGTCTATTGTAAGTCCTGCACCATGTCGACTAAAGGCCTTAAATTAAAGCTGAAAAATAATAATTAATTTTAGAAAAGCTTTTTATATATTTTGTATAGTTATATACAAATATTTTAATAATTTGGAGCAATAAAGATTTAGGTAATCTATTTGAAAATGGTGAAAATATTCACACAGTTCTAATGGGAATACCTGAGAGTTGTACTTGTACTTCCCATTAAGTCTGCGCAACAACATTAATTTTAAAATAGTAAACTTTTTTGCTATTTTACATTAAAATTATTTGCTCTTGTTGGTTTGATTGACATTTGTTGGAAGTACAGGCTTCTCCTGTTAAGTGCAAAATGTACAAACTTTACTCATAAACAATTCAAACATGCCACCAGTTACTTAGAGCGGTGGAAGGAGAGTCTCATGGCTACATTAGAAAATTAAAAATGTTCCGGTCTTAGTTGGATTTACACTTGCTTGCATTTGAGACATTATGTTGTAAATGATCATTTAAATTTTAAAATTATTTAAAAGATTCGAAGTTGTTCCTTTTTGGTGCTGTGCAAACGCTGCACAGCATACCAAATAAATACAAATACAAAGAAACTGAAAAAATGAAATACTATATTCTTTATTGGTGTCTAAAGACTTCATAGAATGCTGGAGCGTTAAATGGATGCAAATAACAGACGATTCCCCAGTTGAGTTTGAGCTCCCGGGAAGCTATAAACATGCAATCTCATTTACATATTGTCTTGACGAAGTTATGAGTGTGCCCTTAAGTTCTTACGTTTTGAGTATCATAAATATCTCAGAAAACATAAAATTTCTACAGTTTTAGTTTTTATTCTTTTGGAAATGTGTTCCAATAATCATAATAACAATTTTAAAACAAAAATAAAAAAAAACGACTTAAGAAGCGTGACATTTCATATGGCACAAGAGATTCGCTTGAAGTTATTTTATTGGAAATATATCTTAGTCAACTTACAAAAACATTGAAGTATGAATTAAAATTAGAGTTTGGGTTTAAATTCTATTGATTTTAGGAAAACGTATTCACACCATAAAATTGTAATTCTTTATTAAAATTAACTAGATTTTCTTAATAATAAGATTTCTATTTACCATAATATAGACAAAATATACCAAATATATATATATATACTACTTAACTTACTTGATGACTACTTAACTTGATGAGAATTATACGACACACCTCTAAAAACTTAGAGGAGATAGCCTGTAACCAAAAAGTGCTCAAAATTCGCACTAATTCTTCGCTCAATACCTGATACCTGCAACGAAGAATATTTCTCTAGTTTTCCTTTTGCAACTACAATGATATCGTGGCAAATAGTATAGATAATAATGGGTTGGTAAGATACAGTACTATTATATAGGTTCATAGTATTATACATATTAACTCCTATATCCTTCAATAAACGCATTAATAGACTAAAAATAACTGTAGAGGTAGAGCGTGACTAGCAAAGAGAACAACCCTTCCAAACATAACAAGGCAACTCTGTATGAAAACACGTCACAAAAGTCAAACCCTATTAAGTTTAACAAGAAATAATGTCAATCTGTTTATGTTTGTTATTACAGATTGTTGTTTGAAAAATATATACGTGACCATATTGAGTACTCCAATAAGAACTTCTGTAGAAACTGTCAGAATTATCACAAAAAACAAACGATTAAACTTTTGTTGTGGCGATGTTTGGCTTTCTTCAGACAAGGAATAATTTTTATATTAGAAAATTAGACTAAAAGTTGCAATCTTCCGATTGAAAAATTATATGAATCCCAAGACTTTCTATATTCGAGGCAGTCTAAATAGTAATTATAAATAAAACAAGGAAGATAATGAATCACTTTGTAAACATAATACATTACCTTTTACTTAATAAATAGGCAAAAATTAATTCAATTTATTAAATTTTAATTTGACACTATTTTTTAACTTGGACTCATCATCCGCAATAATATGTTATATGAATCAGAACTTCGAATCGGACATTTTTGATTCCATGACAAAAGACGATTAACAAAAAGAACCAAATTAAATCTGAAAAGTTCTTTAAAATTGACTTGACTCCAGATACTTTTTAATCGGAAAGCGTTGTTTTTCGTCATCGTAAAGTCTTGATTTCTTGTATTCCATTTTTTTCGTTTCGTTAAAAATTTATACGTATATAAATAAATTTATACGTATAAGTATAAATTTATACGTATATAAATAAATTTATACGTATAAGTATAAATTTATACGTATATAAATACTTATTTATAATAAATATAAAATTATTAAAGATATAATGCATTCCACTAAATTATAAATGTGCAGAATATATTGCATATAGGAATATTTAAGTTAAATTACGAGATATTCAAGTATCATAAAAGCACAGTATTTTAATCTGTTTCTTATTTCTCTTCGTTTCAGCGAATGCATCCAAGTGTAATGAGGGTCAATTTCAGTGCGAAAAGAGTCAGAAGTGTATTCCCAAAAATTGGTTTTGCGATGGTGAATTAGACTGTGGCATTTCTGATAATTCGGATGAAAAAAATTGTAAGTAACATCGCACTCTAAGAAGAACTTCCAACTTAAACTACTTTATTCAAAATGCCGAAAAATCTAACTTAATACTTTGCCTGATTTTCTTCCGTCCACATTTTCTTAAGTCGTATTATCTTTATTTTATATAGAATAACTTTCAGTTATTTTCATTGAGTTTAATTTTCCAAATATTGTGTCATCCAAAACTTTTAATATACTTTCGCAACTACTACATTTGCATTTGCAGGTCCCTCGGATACTGTTAAATGTTTATCCTACCAAAACGAGTGCAAAAATGGTGTCTGTCTGGATATTTCGCGTTTCTGTGATGGTGTCTGGGACTGTGATAATGATGAGTTAAATTGTGGTAAGGAAATGCAAACATTCCCACATTTTAACATAAATTCGCCATATTCTATGGCGATAAGTAACTGTGTATTTGCTCTGTTTTTCACTACAGAAACTCAAGATGCCAAATGTGCCAATTTAAATTGTTCCTTCAACTGCAAACTAACGCCGCAAGGTCCAACTTGTTATTGTCCACCTGGGCAAGAACCTGTCAACGGTACACAATGTGTCGATTATGATGAGTGCTCCGTTGAGGGAATGTGCGACCAGTTCTGCCATAATACGCCAGGTTCATACGAATGCTCTTGTGCCACAGGTTATCTAAAACAAAAGAATCGTTGCTTCGCCATAAATGGTAAGTTAAGCCAACTTTTTGAATGTATGTATGGTTGTTAATATGTGTATGCATGTGTGCGTGTAAGTATGTCTACTATATATTGCATAATTTTGCCTGCAGGCACTTAACATTAGTTACCTATACTGCAGTGATTCGCAAATTTCTGTAATATTTTTAGTGCCCAAAACGGAGAATGCTTCACTGGTATTCGTAACTCAGTCGGATGTGCGTCGTGTAAACACAACCGGCGAGTTGTTAGGACACTTTGAGTCACCCGATGTATCCGCCATTGAAATTTGGCATCGTAATCGCACTCTCTGCGCCATGTACTCCAGTGCTTGGACGACTATTTATATGAAATGTCATCGCATCGATGATTTAAGCGTGAGCTGGACAATGCCACTACCTGAAATAATTACTTGTACGCATTGTAAGTACACAATAAAAAGCAATGAAAGCAAAGTATCCTTTTGTAGTCATAGTCATTGCTGGACCTTTTAAATGTGCATTGCTTATTGTTTTATTTTTGTAGCCATCGATAAATTACGTTTGGACTGGATATCGGGAAATTGGTATTTCATAAGTAATGAGCCTGGTTTGATGTTCATGTGCACGAATAACATGCAATATTGCAGCGTTATATTGGAGGAGGTGAATAGTCCCTCCTCCATGGTATTGGATCCCACTAAAGGGTAAAACATAAGAAATGCTTTTGCAAAAAAACCAACAAAAGCAAGCTTTTGTCGTGGTTGTTGCGGTTGCAGTCATGTTTAATTTTTTAATTGTATCATTATTTTTGCTTGCAGGTTCATTTTCTTTACCGAGTGGAGTCCAAGCTTGTCACGTGCCAATCTTGATGGTAGCAACCGTACGGTGATAGTATCAACACAAATTTTCTATCCGAGCCGTGTGACATTGGATCTGCCCAATGAACATGTCTATTGGATTGATATTTATAAGGATTTTATTGAGCGCACTGATTACGGAGGACACAAGCGCTGGTCGCTAAAGAAAACTGCAGATGTGAGTACCTTTAAAAAGGTAGCAAAAGGTAGCAATGACTGCCTGCAAGTGTGATTAAATAGCCTCAAGTAGAAGGCATGTACTTTTATTGCCGACAATATGAAGTCGTCGATGCAATGGAATAAATTTATTATAAGATTTCGCAACAGTGATTTCATTGTTGTTGTTTGCTACAAGATGTATGAGTGAATTTTAATTATTAGTGTAGCACGTTTGGCGCGTGGGCATTTTAGATGACATCCATGCACTGCTGAGTGTTGAACTGAATTTTTAATCAAACGAGCAACGTGCCGTATAAGTAACCATTACTACTTTGAGCCGTAATAATATTCACTTCTGTCCGCTTTTGATTGTAAATTCATTTTTTCAGAATTTTGAAATTGTTGACTGCCTCGTTTCGTTTCCTTTCGTTATTTAAAAGTTTTTTTCTTGCTCTGTTTTTCTCTTCGTTTCAGACACATATTCCTGTTAAGTCCCTACATGCGATTGAAGTTTTCGAGAATACTGTGTACATTGCCCCTTGGACTGATAGTGTGATAATAACCATGAACAAATTTACCCTTAAGGCTGAACAAATCGTTAAAAATGTTAAACGCCCGTACGATTTCAGAATATTCCACCGTCAGAAGCAACCAGAGGGTAAGTTTACAGTGTGCAAACACTAACTTAAACAAGCAAAACCACTAGATACATCTATATTAAATTACATATTTCTATTGTACGGAGAATTAGCAGTTGCTTTTACATAATTCATATTGCTAGGAAAAAACTTGATTTGTACAATGTGAGACTATTGCAAGGAATGGCAAGGAATAGTATATATGCTCTACTACTATGTTATCATTGCACAATAGTAACTAAGTTATTTTTGAAAATAGTTTCGATTTTAGGAGTTCTTATTCACCACAAATCAATATTTCAAATAGCAAAACTTACAATTACATTAGCAGTATGCAACCCTCCCGCTTTTTTGCTGAATGCTCGGCATATAATACAACAAGAGAGCTTGAGGAACTAATTATAACTAGACTAGACTTATTAAATTAATCTTATATACAGATTTGACTTACTTAGGTAATGATCAGGACCCTTAGAACACTTGACTTAATCAATGGTAACCTTTACGTGGGAAAACGATAGCTCATCGTAACGGATACACATAGCGCAAAATCATTAATATGAGAATTCTCAATATTGGGCTATGGGAACACTCCCTATCACTGTTGGAATAAATAAGAAGATAAACTTATACTAATCGTAATATACATTAAGGAACTGCGGAAGTTTTGTTACTTTAGAATACATTCTAAATTTCAGGTCGTTTAAACATAACACCCTGTATCTAGCCAGTAATCCGCATATGCCATGAAATAATAAACGTATGCCTATGACTATAACAGAGAT